GTGTGAGTTTATAGCATTGTTTTGTCTCTATACATACCTTGAATTATCCTGCTTTAAATGTGTCGTTATTAATAGCCATTTCCGCAAACATGTTTCAGGAAATTCTGCAGCGTTAGTTTCTTGATTATATTTGACCGGGCTTCATATGCGCATATACACTCTTGATCTAAATTTTATTGGAGCGTGGTAATATCAACTTAATTAATTTGTAGGTATATTAAATTTCAGAATCCTTGAATAGTCCTCGTGTAGGTGGTAAACTATTCGATCGATATTTCTGTCAACAAAACTGTTTGATGTAGGGGGTTCCGTGGTTAAAATTAATTTATTACTGCGTTAACGTTTTTTGTCATACTTTCTCTGTCATTGCAAAATTCCTTTTGTCGCCAAACTCCTATATTTTGTAGGTAACCTACGGTTATCATGTTTCGACGAATGCATGATCACCATTCACCACTTCCACCACATAGGTCATCTATAAAATCCAAGGTAGCAGAATCTAAACGAATTCGCTCTTGATAGGAAGTTTAATTGAGGATGCCTTATTTAAATTAAATTTCCAAATTTTTCTTTAATTATTTGTTTCACAATAATAGCAGATAGAAAGGTAAAACTAGCGACCCAGGAGAGGTTTTTCAGTATGTATCAAAAAATGTCTACTCCATATGGGGTAAAAATAACAAATCCAAAGTTAGTTTTTGAAAATTTAAAATAAAAACGATTCAAATGTCATTTTTGATCGGGCCACAACAGTGATCAAAGTATCATGAAATGATAATTTTCCAAAAAACCAAACTGTTAAACAATTTTTAGATATATTTAGGCTGCTGCGCAACGAAGTGTTTTGATATCTGATTCCTTCGGTGTCGATACAAGAATTGCAGTTGTATCTTTTTCTCAAATTTTCAAAAACGAAGTTTAGATTTACCAGATTCGTTTTCACAAATAATCGAATTCTTTCGGACCTCATTCTAGGGTGCCCCATCCCAGATTACGAATTTTTCCGAGTTTTTACAAAATGGGAAAGAAAGCCAAAAACAATAGGGTTAGTTCTAACTTGCTATATGTCAAGATTAGTGAGAAAAACTCAAATTTGGAGAACAAACATTCCGGATCTTCTACAGACATCGACAAAATTTTTGATTTGCTCCTTTCTATTACTACCTTTCCTTTACATAATATTTAACTGTTTCACCTGTATGGGCACTCCGTTACCTACAACGCAAGTTTTACACACCAAATATACAGGGTGTCACATATAAGTACATAAAAATTTGGGTGGTAGAGGGGAGCAAAACAAGCACTTTTTCTAAATAAACTGATGGTCCAACGTGTTTCGTTTGGGAGGCACCGTAAAAAAAATGGTGAAATTTGCATTTCTTCTTTAACTTTTTCTCAGCAACCAGAACGGTTGGAAAGACTGGTGGCACGTCTTGGAATAGGTTTTGGGGTATACCCTTTCCGATTTTGCAAAAATGTTTTCAAAACTCTGATATTTGGTATCTGGGGGGTTTTGAACATGAAAATCAGGAATCTTAAATTAGTTTTTGAAAATTCGAAAAAGTTTCACTGCAATTCTTAGCCGGACAACGAAAATGTAGATTCATCGAAATGTGACGTGATGACTTGATGTCGAACAGTTTTTAAATCACTGTTCAAACAACAATTCTCATTTGAAAATTGGTCCTTCGGGTCAGAAAGTATCCCCCGTCAATTAGGGAGTCATCCAATTTCGCATGTATGTAGTTAGTTGAAAATGCCACAAATATCAAAAAATTCCTGAAGGTTTCTTGAAATCTTTTTCAACGTTCCCTACCTCTTCTTACAATCTTTGGAAAACCTCCTTTAGAACGTATACATGTGTGTCAAAGATAAGGGGGTCCATCATGGGGGTCTCCGAAACCGTAAAATATACGACGATGGTCAAACTATAGAAAAGATTCGCAATTAAAAAGTTCTTATCATGCTTTATTGAAAACCAGACAATTCTCATTACTTCCGAAGCTATTCCAGAAAAACGGAAATTTCCCGATTTGGTTTTTTCCGGTGTTATTTGAACAGTCACAAGAAAATTAAAAAAACACTTCTGCCGTATTGTATATTATTACGAATAGAACGATGTACGTCACACACACAAATTAAAAACAATAGTTGGGAACTGTTGGTTTCAACAGGATGGTGTATCCACACACAACGACTGAACCGTGCGAGAATATCTCTCACGCATTCCCCATTTTCCAGGAAATTTTTCCGATTGGTATTCTTGCACGATTAGGGCGTTGTGCGCGGGTGCATCATCCCGTTGAACCTGTACCTCATATGTGACCTTTTATTGACCTTGAAAATGTCTCTTAAGCATGGGGAAAGTTTATTAAATGAACTGTGGCAAGCTTGAGAACAATTTTCAACGACTTCTAAGATCTCAGAATTTTCTTTGAATCTCTATAGAATCCCTGGAGGCTTTAAACCTTCAGCATATTATCAATTAGATCCAGAATAATCGTCTATTACAATTTTTATACGGTTGAACGATGAAAAATCTAAAAAAAATTTGGTGCTAGAAGTGTTCAAAACAAGCATTTTCTTTTCAATTAAATGTTGGGTCCAAAAATGATAGATTGGCAGGTATGCCTCCGAATGCCACAAAATTTGAGTTCTTCTCAAGAAATAAGGGTTAAGATTTTAGTACGCCCTTCCTGATTCTTTTCCTGGTACTTTTAATTTAAAAAATACCAACTGTAGTTTTTAGTCAGATCACAAAAACGATGCCAATTTAATGAAATTTGGTAAAACTTTCTTGTCTCATAACCACCTGAAAATATTTGAAAATATGCTTGTACCTTCAAAAAGTGGTCGATGTAAACCAATGGGATCTTTTATACACACCTTGTCCGCAGTTAATATAAATCTAATTTCGCAGAAATCAGACACCTTCCTTGCAAACTTGTTGAGGGATGCGCCATTTTGGGGTACGAATTTTGAAACACAATCTTTTCACAATAAGAAGAGGCAGATTGGAAATCCGTTGAGTGAAAAAATTATCGAACAAATGTAAATTTTGGAACGGGGGGGCTGTCATTCGATTCATTTTGGTTCTCTAATTGATTTGGACTAATTGTTTGGTTGGATAGCCTCTACAAACCAACTTTTTTGGCATATTTACTTTCAAAAATGAATTTATTTACAAAATTTAAATTTATTCGTTGGAAAAAATTATAGGGTTGTTTAATAAATTAGGCTAGTTTATATTTGATTAATCCAGACCAATTTTCAGAAACTAGGGAGTAAAGTTACATGAATTCTCCAGAAATATTGGAGTATCAAATTCAGAGGTAACATTTTTTCCAAATTTTGATCACAAATTATTGACATTAATATAGCTGTGAAAAAGAAATTACCTCAATTATCTCCCATTATTAACCCATTTATTTACCTGAGCTAGCTGGAAGGAAAAGTACAAAAAATGCAGGTCCCGAAGGTACTCCAACAACAATACGGCGAGAAGAGAAGAATAAGAAGAATTTATACATCAAACCATCTTTATAATGTAACAGTCCGTTACAGAAGCAAAAAAATTAATAAACTGCATTTCTTATACAAATAAACAAAGAATGATGCTCTATGACGTCCTCGCGGGTTTAGAAAACGGGAAACTTTTAGATTATTTTGCAACATTTAACTAGTAAAGGAGAAGAAAAGTAAGTAGACCTACCTGCGGGTTAAAACTGTAGTAAGAAAATGTAAAATTGGATACTTGATGGGTGAAATATTCAAATTGTGAATAACAGGCCGTTTTTGTGCAAAATTTCAAACTTCGACGAGAATTGAAATCAAAACTACAATTCTGTTGTTGAAAAGATAAAAGCCGAACTGTAACAGATTACAGGGCAGTCGATGGTTGTCTTCGTGGCGCCAATTGTTCTTCGTGTTTCGCATGTGAAAGGCAATATCATCATTCTACGAAGCCAACTATGTTTTCACAAAAAAGTACCTACAAATAAATTACAATAATATAGGACCATTGAGTAATTATAATCCTTCACTCAACGATAGGACGGAACGCGTTTCCGTGAGCAAGGATAAATTTTCATAGTCATTGGATAAGAGGATTTTAAAAATGTGTTTGTCTGTTTTTTGATACGGTCTATAAAGACAAACGTAATTTTTGTAGAAGGTATGTAAGCTGAATTTTCATTGTAGATTCGTGTGAGAATTTTCCACTCAAGTACGTATTTGTGCATTGATTTAAGTTCAGGCTGTCGTTAATGTGGAAAGGAAATACGAAGGGAGAATTAAGAATTTAAAGTACTCGTAGGTAGTAATTAAAAGTGAATTTAAAGTAGTTATTTATTTTCTGTCCGGTCGGTATATTAATTGAGTAGATAATTTTCAGGTATTCAAAAAGAAGCTTGGCTTTGATTTATGACAAATTTTGGACTAACTACTTACGTAATACACTTCGTAGGTAAAATACTATGACGGGAGAAATTTGCCACCCCACTGTCACATTGTTACTGTCAAATTTACTATTAAAAATGACGATTAAGAATAAGGTATAACGAAAAGATTAAATAAATGTCTAAGTGCACATTAGAATCCCGTGCAAAAACACGCACTGCTCAAATGGCTTTCCAAACCATAATGAAACCTACACAAAAGAAACAGGGTTCGCAGAAAGACCAACTCAATGAGCATTACAGCTTCATTGTGTCACAGTAACCTTTTTTTTTACATATATAGCAAAAACGGGCGGCCTGTTGTTTTTATCTTAATCCTTTTCATTGCAAGTAAACATTACATAGAAAACCCGCACAATCGGACTAATCTTAATGTCGCGTTAACCCAATTGTAAAAAAATATCGACAAGAAATAACGTGTACAATTACTGGCGAGATTGTAAAATGGGGTGGCGAAAATACTCCAAACCAAAGACTTGCTCTGTGGAATTGAAAGATATGTGGATATGTGCACATTTCGTTGCGCCCATTTCGTAAACTTACCGGAAATGCCATCGTACGTCCACCATTCCTGCCAGTTGTCGCATCCAGCTGAAACAAGAAAAAAGACATTCAATAAGCCACTGTCTTTGTGGGATTCGCTGCAATTGTTTTTAATAAAACTTAAAGGCGTAAAATGAACTGAAGTGGATTTTATTAAAAGTTCTTGAATAAACTAGTGAAGTGCTTGAAATTTATGCGCTATTTGAGAACAAGCCGTTGTTAATATGGTGTGAAATATGACCTCTAGCGACAGAAACTTTAAATAGTGTTTCATAAAGTGTACTTTTATAAATTACATGAATTTACTACTTCACAACGAAGAAATGTTATTATGCTAGAGCATATACTGGGCGTTTTTCGCCTATAACTCAAAAATGGTCTATCCTTTTGAAAATTTCACGTAGTACTAAATTATATAGGGATAAAGTCTGCATGGCACCACTACGTTAGGCCGGCCACACATGGAATTAGACACGCTCAGCCACGTTTAGTCCATTTTACTTACTTACTTATTACTTATTATCCCTCTCTTGTACTGGACCCTCAACAGGCTTGCGCCCAATTACAGAGTGACCCGCATAATGCTTTTTAGAGGTGCTTCTGCAGAAGGTCTTAAGTTGGTCTATACTACTCCGGTATTTACCTTACGGATTAGGAAAACTGCAGGAAAACCTAATTCGGAGTAGCCGGCAGAATGCTCGAAACTGATCTAAAGAAATTCCCATCTCTGCCACAGATGAAAAATTCACCTCAACCCAGGTTCGAACACCCGACCTCCGGATTTATAGTCCAACGCTCTACCACTGAACCATAAAGACGGTTGTTGCGTCAATATCGAGCGTACAAAGTCGCGGGGGCAATGTACCTCAAACAATTTGTACAGGGTGTCCCATTAATAATGGTCACAGGCTATATCTATGGAACCATTAATTGCACAACTTCGGGAAAAAAATTGTTAACAAAAGGGGCCAAGAGAAATCGCTGGAAATTATTTTCAAGTTTCTAGCTTCGCCGCTAGATGGCGTACGATTCATGGTTAAGTAGAAAAATTATTTTTTTTTCTAAAATATACCCAACAAACATGCATAAAAATACATGCATAGCAATCTTGTATCAATTTTCCATCATTTTGGTGCAACACATATTGCTCTAGCCGAGGCCTACGATACTTAAAGTATCGTAGGCCTCGCTCTAGCGCATAAAATAGGAGGGGTGTGGGAAGGGGAACATCTCTTTGAGGAATTGGATTAGATTAACCCTGAACTACTATCGCATTTTCTCAGTAACTTAACTACTATGGTGGGGTCATTTACGACCCACATATTTTAAAGTAAGTATACATGGTTCTATTGTAACACATATTAAAAAAAGATGAATAGTAGCACAGACAACATATACTACAGACGGTCAATGCAATGCTATAGAAATAAACGCAACACCTAATAGAGTACGGTTAGTGTGTTGTCTACCTTGCAGCAGTCGAAATAATTTGTCGTAAAATGTGGTAGACGCACAGAAAACTGTTGTGTGTGGTAAAAGTGTGTAATAGGTGGAGTCATTTTTGTAAAAATAAAATACATACTCAAACCTTATTTCCTCGGCTTCAACGCCGGCCTTTATGTAGATAAGATAAGCGTTCACTTGTATAACATCATAAATTACATGAAATAGGATACATTTTAATTCTTCATTTTTCTCTTTTCTAAACATTTAAAAAATTGATGGAGCGGGTTTGGTTATACAAGGGCGGAAACTAAATTTGGCCTCCACATATAAAATTATGAGGTTGGACAAGGAAAGATTTTATTAGAATAATAAACATAATTTTTGTTTTTCCATAATAAATATATTATTATACCGGGTGGTGACTTGTTCAACGCACCATAGGAAATGCAACAGAAATTTTTTCATTTCTGTTTATTGACTTCTCTAATTATTTTAGAGAGAAAGTTTATTTAGGTTTTTTGTAGGGAAAAAAATTACGAATCCATGCACACTATAGCTTTTAATTTTCTGAACTTTGAATCCAAGAAATTGGATAATTAAAAACTGGCGCTTTTAAGAAAATCAGTGGTGCCATGGCAATTTGAGATCAAACATGGCAAAAATGTAGGCGCTTTTGTTTGATTTCCTAACTCCATGGAATTACCGACTTTATAAACGCGACAGTTTTTAATTTTTAAATTTTTACTGATTCTGAATTTATAAAATACGAAACAAGAATATGTACGGATTCGTTTATATAATTCGAGGTAAATCTTTCACTCACGCCTTTGACGCTCCCGACGAAGGCGACGACGGGCGACTTCAGCGCCCCCCAGACTTGGCGTCCAGGGCCTGGGTCCCCCTCGCCCCTCCCCCTCGCACGGCCTTGCCTACCTATATGTCTCTGTGATAATACCATCACAAATTTTTTTGATTAGGGGAGGGAGCACTTAACGAACTTTATTTTATGTCAATGTGTAGGGTCAACATAGTCCAGTCAAATTAGCTCCAAAAGTATTCTGAACTGGATGTTGGCATTTCACACAACGAAACCAAGTGTATTCTATGTAGTTCACTGCCCGGAAGCTCCCGGAACATATTGCTATACACAAAAAAAAAACAAGAAAAAATGGAAAAATGCAGTTTTTTTCTTCGTCAACTATTGCTCGAGCTCATAGAAATGAATTTGTTTAGAATCGAATTTTCAGTTGGTACCAGGGCTCGGAATGGACCGGAACGAGCCGGAACGCTGTTCCGGTTGGTAAAAAGTATTACAATATCGTTCCGTTTCGTCGAAAATATTTGTACACTGTTCCTTTTCGTAAAGGGACCGCAGCGTCGATCCTCTCCACCCGCACACAAAGAAATTTTACAGAACCCTACATATTGTTGGATTATTTGTCATTAATGCGATAAAAATCACATGGAAACGAAAATACGTCCTTCAGATCATACCAGCACACGAAACCCATTAGTATCCACTGGTCTCCACACCAAGGGAAACAATAAAAATGAAACATTTAATTTTTGTTACGTTTTCTCGTTGTTTTAATGTACGTAGTACATGTTTTCTATGTCCCCCCCCCCCCTTCCTCCTGATGGACTGATGCTTGCGTTCCGGCGAAAATTTCCATTCCGAGCACTGGTTGATACAGAACCGTTCATTTTTAAATGTTATTGTTTTTTCTGGAAAAATATAAAAAAAGTAATCCCAAAAATTAACATTTGTTTTTGTTGATACGCCCTTCTCGATGCTTTGTCCTTCAAACTGGATGACTCCCAGAGCGTTTGCAATATTTTTATGGATGGTGGAACCGTAAAACAACCTATTCCAACAATTGTCTGTTGTCCCGATAAGTTTTGCAAATCGACGGACTGTGGAATTAGTTTAGTGGAAACCCCAGAAATAGAACAAGAAAGTAACTTTATTAGACCCTTGGCACTCTGTTTAATAAAAATCATACCAACTGTATCTGATACAAAAATCGATCCTAAACGAATTCGTTCTCTTCATTTTTTCCGTAAGAGGAATAGTTAACGAGATACCTAATTAAATGCGAAAAAACGACATTTTCCCATTTTTTCTTCGTTTACTTAAATAAACCATCTCGAGAATCGCTATTAAAACTTTGTGACAATTTTCGTAGGTAATTGCACAAGTGCATCAAAATGCTCTTTTAACAAATTATGAAGTGTAACTTCAGCGCATTTTCCATAAATTGATCAATACTTCCCCAAAGGCCATACCTATGTGCGCTACGTTTTTCATTACTATTGGTTAAAATTTTAAAGAAATATCTTCATAAATAAGGAAGTTGGCACTCACTGCGCAGTTGATATTGCGCGTCCTGCGCATGCGCTTATTAATCTGATATTTATAAAATGCAATACGTTTGCTTTTATTAAAGTATCTTTGGTTAAAATTTCAAAGAAATATCTCCATAAAGAAAGTTTGCATTGCGCAGTCTGCGCATGCGCACATCTAATTTTTACTATATGCGATATATTTGCCTTTACTACAAGTATCTGTGATTAAAATTTCAACAAAATATATTAATAAATAAAAAAGTTAAAATTGCGCAGCCTGCGCATGCGCAGTTCAATTGTTAAGATTTTCTTTGACTCAGGTGCCAGAGCGATACGCTACCGAATGCAAAAAGAACGAACTAAATATCTTCAAAAACTGTAGGAGTAGTTAAGGCCTCGGACAAACGGACGGACAGAGAAAGTGGCTGCAATAGCGCACCCAACTTCGTTGGAAAATGCGCTAAAAATTATCAGGATTATTTTGATGCACGAGTGTAATTCGGGGTAATATTTCCCGAATAAACATTACAAACTCACCTTACCTACTTATAAAATTGTTAAGTGTGTTCCCATGAAATGTGCAATTATCGCAGGGCTCTTTCGTTTTCTACAATGCAATTACCGCTGTAATTGACCGATAATTGCACACCTCAATTGGGATTTATTACATATGAGGCAAATATTCATTCGAAAATTTGCTTACGTTTAGGTTCTCTTTATCCAAGTTAAATGATTTATTCCACAAACGGAGAGACAAGTAGGCAAGTAGAGTACGTAGGTATATCAACAAACACGGAGATTACACTTTTTTTGAGAATTCGAAAAGTGGTGCAAGTTATATCGTTTCTTATGCACCCAAAGACAACGAGTAATACGTAATTGCGAATATGAAGTGATATTTGCTTTGTATGTGTACCTGCAAAGATTATCAGCACTTCGCCTCAGATGTAAATTATGGGGATTTCTTGTGGGACAGCTTTCTAACAAAAAAGGATCAATACTTCTTTCCCTAGACAATTTGCAAAACCATTCCAATAAAAGAAATCTGTAGAAGAACCAACACATTGTTGTATGCGCTAATAGATGGAGCAAAATAGAGGGATAGCAGGTTTTTAAATAAGGGGACATTTGTCACAAAACTTAGCGTGCTTTTTCCCCTTAAGATTGACCGTCTGTAGTATATGTTGTCTGTGATAGTAGGCATTAATAGCTTGCCTGTAATACGATAACACTTATTTGTTTCGTCATTTGACGAA